TGGACAACGCTTTTGCCAACACAGTTTCTGCCGAATATCCATTATCTCTTATTTAATTTAAGTAAAGTTCTAATTCGTAAGTAATCAATACCTTTTCAGCATCCGTAAGCTTTGACCAGCGACGTTTTCACTGGATGTCCTGAAGCATAAACAGAAGTACGGTTCCAAACATTGTTGTCAGAAAATAAAAGGTCGGCTGTTAACTCAACTGAAATTTTCAAAAAAAATTAGTTTAGTAAATAATTTTTTTAAATTAAGTATCTGCAGCTGTGCATTCAGGGTTAGAGGAGGCATGATCATAATCGGTCTGAGTGGCTGAAATGACGTTTTCCGTTAATTTTCAGCCGTCACCTATATATTACCACATAATCTGCGTTTTGACCCGAGGCGAACAGTTATCATAGTATGGACAACAAGAAAGAATTTCATGATACTTTCAATTTTACGTCATATTCTTACGTGTATGGAATATATGCTGGCACATCTACATCCGAAGGCTTTTCCTAGGATATTCGTCGAGAATTAACACAGACGGTAGACCATATCTTTGGCTAGACATTGTAGTCCTTAGAGCGTCGTAATCATAGAGAGGTTTGCTTAGGATACAGGACAATAATCACTGACACTCCCTTATGTCATTCTCTGTTAGTCTTCATTCAAGCCATGGACAGGCGTTGTCCTTTTCCGTAATATCGTCCGTTGGTTGTCCAGAAACAGGTTGTTGTTAGTGCTAATTTTCATGGGGTTAATTTATATATACGGTTTCTCACTGCCGGCTCGTATCTCAAAAAGTTTTCTCTTTGAGCCTTTGATCTTCCCAGGTTTGTAACCGGAAGATAGTGCTGTCATTTGTGACCTCATTATTGGATGAGCCCGTCTCGTCGTTTTGACTTTATAGGTCTGTTTTCGACTAGTTCATAAGTGTTACGTTTACCGCACTCACCCTGAACACGCTTTGATAATACCCATCGTTGCATGTTTACTGTTGCATGCGACAGACCTCCCTGTCTGATGGCTGTTCCCGTATTCGCAGCCTGGAGAGGCACCAGACGGTCTATGGCTAGTCCATCCTTTGAGAAACAGGATTGACAAGTTAACGGGAAGTTTATCTGTATCGGATACTTTTGCGGAAACAGTCAACAAACTTAGCACCGCAGAGGTCAACTATTCACGTGTAAAGATATTCTTTAGGCGATGAAAATCGCGTACGATCGACCATACGGCTTTTCCTTGCCGTCCCATGGATATCGTTAAGTCGGTGATTTGCAACCTTTGGCACATTTCCTAAATGATCGCGACACCGCACCGCGAATGGATCACTTTGGCCACTACGTAGACCGAGAGTTCAGGCATATGCTACTGGTTGGTTTTAATCCTTCAGCCAACCTCCCCTCCTGACCCGCAAGTCTGCGCATACATGATGATGCAAATGAGTACTTTCATCACGTCTTTTATACACTATCTCGTTATTTCGTCGTTACATGGATCAGGGAAAACCTCAAGGATCCTCATGACGATTGCCGCAAACACATTCTGCCGTAGTCGGCTTTGACCTGCGATCGCCAAATCGATTTTACCGGCTGCCCTCTTGGTTGGCGCACGACACGACACTGGCGCTGAGTTGAATCTGTTCATCATCAGCCTGGGCAAAAGCATCTGCAATACTTGGCCACTGACTTGTGATTCCTATGTTGTATCTGTCTTGATTCAACGAATTTCTTCAGCTCATCTTACAGCTGACTTAAAGATCTCCTCCGACAGCATACACACTCTCATGGAATTCAGTCTAATGTCTATCTGGTCCAGTGGTGGTCATTTTTGCTTGCAGTGTGCCCTGTCCTTTGCCATTTTAATTCCTTCAGTCAAGGAATAATTCGCCGACTCATGGTTTGTCCTCTTACCTATTCATTCTTCTTCCTATCTTTTCTTTTTATTCTCTCGAAGAGTTAAATGTGTTAAGAAAAACTTTTTATTTTAAATTATTTTTCTCGCTGCTCAGGTCCCTATAACCAAACACTGATCGAAGCTAGTTAGTAGTATATGCGGCTTTTCCATGGAAACGTAAACAAACGCTAACTATTCATTTGACCAATCAGTTCAGTGTTGAATATAACAAGTAAACGAACACGGTTCGATATTATATCGAGCAGCAGCGAGTGGCGATGAAATGTTGGGGAAATTCATCGAACAAATATGACTCTCTCTGTACTTGTAATTAAGTTCATAAAAGGTAAGCCAAATTCTCTACTCGCAGTAACCATAATCGTCGCATCTATTTAAAATTAAAAATTTCTGCATAGTAGATTATACGAGTTAGAGATAACAAGGCTGCATACATGGTCGTTGGGATCGTGCCAAAGATTTATTTCCCTTCTGTCTGTAGACATCTCGTTAGAGGTTAATATGTCGAACCGTAAACCTGGTACTTCATCGGTAACTACTTTTGGTTAAATCTTCAGGTTACATACATAATTTGATAGGAAGAAGGCTAAATACGCAGGCGGGTGTGTTTGCATCTAAATCATGGACGACCACTAATTTTTAGTGGTAGGTGGCAGGCTGGCACAGTGGCTAAGAGGTTTGCTTCGAAGTCCAGAGGTGCCGGGTTTGATTCCGTTCGAATGGCAAGATTTGTCTTATTCTTATTCTTTGTTTTATTCCTTTTCTGCATATATTGCTTCAGACCATGGTTGCTCTCAGTCGGTAAAGCATCGAACTCAGAATCGATAGTTCCCTTTGGTCCTTCCCACGCTGATAAATGACTCCCATTCTGAAGGAAAAAGCAGGGGACTGAACTCTGCGCTTGCCATATGGCTGTAGGCTCTGACTTTAAAAATATGGCACTTCTGCTGATGGCACAGAAAAGGAGACCGGCACTGCACTATCAACTTCATGAAAAGAAGGGGGTCAAAATGGCCCAATGACGAAAGTGAACAAAGACCTACATTGCAATGGTGACAAACTTGCTTTTCCGTTTCGTCTTTTTTAAAGAT